TCTTTGTCTTTCAGTACCGCTTAGCAAAACCGGCGCACTTTCTCACATCGTACATAGCACGTAGAATACAATTCATATTCGTACAATTCATCAAGAACGCTTTTTACCTATTTAATCGATGCTTTTTGAAAACTTTTGATTACCTTCTTACCCATCCCCTCTCCCCCCCCCCCGGCAGACTGTGGCATCCCTTGAAAAATTTGCAAGAAATCGATATTTCTACAAACAACATTATCGGCTATTCCATTCGGCACCCAACTCCTATCCCATCTCTGCCAAGTTTAAACGTCTGTAAATCTAGAAAAATTGATAGCTCATCAGAGAGAGGACTTGAAATAGCCTTAGATTGCCGAGAATGAATGTAAGACCAAATTAAGAGATTTTGATTCCTATTCACGCATCAGTAGCAGGAGGTGTAACCTCGAATTTGAATCATCTTCGACATTTGAATCCGAGCAGTCTATCGAATTGAAGACGAACATCGGAAAAGTAGCTGGCATTATTGAGAGTAAAACCTGCAACGGTAACAGAGATAAGGGAGCCAAAACAACCGTAGTTTGTCAAAATCAATGCACGAGTAGAAAATAAGCTTTCTAATTTTGTAATTTTAGGCATCAAGTCGCATAGTGTGTTTACGAACATCAAGCTTCTTCCAAATCTCCATTTAAAAAGTCGTATTTTTTTATAATTCTGTTATCTTTATGCTGCCAAAGCATGGTCGTTCGATATCAGCAATGTGGAAGCCTTTGATCAATGCTTCAGTTACGCGATCGAAGCCAACAAGCATAGTAAGAACGCAAAGCTAGGGTTTGGCGATGGCCCAAAAAATGTAAAGAGCGCACACCGTAAGAACGTCAGTGTGGGCTATGAATAGACATTGGTGGCCACCCTCTTGAGGGCTTTACATAAACATAATGGCCACCCTCATGCCTTCGACGCTGCTGGGTAAGATACCAAGTACCGACCATGGGTTAGTCTACTTTGGGTAGGCAAACCCCTGAGTAGACTAACACGGATTCGTTGATGATCAGCTACTGGAATAACAAACCGAATATTAATCAGCAAAGCGAATAATTCCAAGGTATTTCAAATAAGAAATTCAAATTTGTGTTATATATCAAAATATTAGGTTGATGCATAATTCCTGCACCAAAATAGGCACGGACCGCAATAATCCAGAATCCTCTATATCTTTCAAATAGGATTTGATATATCATTACATAGAGCAAACCTAGCTCTCCAGAAAGTGCTCCACAATAACTACACCAGGTGTGATCCACGCGAAGTTCTAAGCCGAAAAGTGAAAGAAAAACAAGCGTTCGAAAACCTTAAGACAAACCAAACAAAATTTAATTCCTTTAGAAAAACTCCTGCAAAAGTTCTTAGCTGCTCACGCATAGACGTTCCACGTGAGACATTTATCCATGCAGTTGCTGTATTTTTTTCTCAGCTGACGATAACAAAACGAAGCAGTAGAACTTTACATTTTCGGCCTTCTAAAAGAGTTACTTCACGAGAAATATCGCATCTAACTCTCTTTATCCGAATTTTTCTTGCCTAATTGCCAAAAATTCGACATTTCTCGTAAACCAGCTGCTGCAAAAAAGCTGAAAAATTCACCCTCATGCTTCTGAATTTCTGTAATATACAAATGGCAGTGCTAGAACGTATCGGCATTGTTTTGGAAAAAACATGAAAAACTTCGTTTTCTCAATTTCCAGCTGAGAGAAAAATAAGCAGCTTAGAGAGATGTCTTATACGAAATGTTAATGCGTAAGCAAGTAAGAACTTTTGGAGGATTTTTTGAACAATTTTTTACACAATTTTTCTTGGTATTTTGGGGCGCTAGGATCTTCTTCGTTTTTGACTTCAATCTTCGCTTGGATCAAAGCTGCTGCAAAACTTTTAGCACTATCTTGTAGAGCTAGCTTTGACTACTTTTGCAGTATACCACGATAATAAATAGCAGAAATATCTGTTACTGCTGCCTGTACCTATTTTGGTGCAAGAATTATGCATCAACCTAATATTAGATCGGTCCGAAAGTTCGGGCCGTTTTTTAGGCCCATGCTAAAACTTAGAATAAAGATAGACAAAGGCTGTAAGCATTTCCGATGCAGAATTTGTTTCTCTTTCTAATGGTTATGTATTTGTACAGATGCCTTTGATGATCGCTTGAATAATCGTCAGAATCTCCAACCCAACATTTTTTACCCATCTTGAGTTTGGCTATTTTTTGAAATTTCCATTTTCAACTTTTGGACTAACTTTGATGACAGTTGGATGGAACAAAAAAATGCAATTTAATGATTTATTTTGGCTTCATCAACTAACCTTTTAGTATTTCTTAAAATAATTTTTGCAAAAGACCTTATTTTGCGAAGTCATGAAGTACACAATCGCTTTAAACACTGATGAACCTTTGGAATGTAAGGTTTCCAAGCTCATTTCTCAACGTTAATTTTATTAAACAACTGAGCGTTAGCGGTTCGTAATTTTGGAGTCCAAATTCTCTGATTACAGCCTGGGACGAGCCTGGAAACAATAATTACAATGGTTTTATTATATTTTTAGACATTATACAAATCAGAAGAAAGCTGCCTATTGGTGCAGTTTTCATATACTATGTGGTAGACTGTGTCAGTGGTTACTATGGTACTAACCATTTTGTTGAATTGACCACTCACTCATAATGCTAGTTATAGCACACAACGTGTGCACGAAGTAAAAATCAGGAAGAAAAGAAGTCTATCAGACAGAGGAGAAACCTCTCGATTATTGTTCTATGAGGATTGGAATGCCCAAATATGAATTTCATGGCACCGCAAAGTATTTTGAAAATTTGAAAAGCCGTTTGGAGATGCCAAAAAACTGTATTATATCGCATTTTGTTTATTCTATCCACCCGTTATCAATGCTAGTCCAAAAGTTGAAAATGGAATTTTAAAAAATAGCTGGACTGAAGATGGGTAAAAATCATGGGTTGGAGATTCTGACGATTATTCGAGCGATTATCAAAGGAATCTGAACAAATACATAACCATTAGAAAGAGGAAGAATTCTGTTTTTGAGAAGTTTTTGAAATTTTCTACATGAGTTTGATTTACGCAAGCATCATTTACAATTGAAAACAGTTGAAAGGTTGTAATATACAGAAATTCTATTGACCTTGTCAAAAATAATTTTGTGAGGCATTCTGTTAAAACTCTCGGATTCATCGCATTTGTAGAAGGCGGACACCTAATTGCATGAAATTTCTGTGCTCCCCTATGAACAAATTCTTAGACCATCATGTCATTAAACTATTCTCATAAAAACATCACTATTTTTGCCATTCGTGCTGTAGTGAGACCGAGTAATAATTACATTCAGATTCGCATTTTTTCGGTCTGACAAAAATAACTGGAATGAATACTGAGAAACGCATGAAAAACTTGTAGTTTTCGAGCTACTAGCATAGAAAAGTGTTTGGCGCACCTTTTATTCCTCTGTTCAGCGTCATTCCAGTTCTGGGAACCCACGTTTTGGTGTTAAATGATTTTCGATTTTTTGAAGTTTGATACCGTTGATTTTTCAGTGTCCGATGCGTCACGTATGATCGACAGCGCAAAGAATAAGATATTCATGGCTTTATACACTCTTTACATCTGTCATCAAAACTCATGAACGCCTTTGCATAAAGCGACTTTCGCATGTTATCCTGATAGCATCTTGGTGTTCCTCTCCCACGCCCTTCGAGCGGTGCTTCGGAAAATTTAAACACATTTTTAGACGCTGTCCGTGCTGCTTTACCCCAAAAGCAAGTGACTTTCAAGGGGGCTTTCTCAGTTTTTTCTAATGACTCTTTTACATTCAAAATTCTCCATTAATTTGTTTATAAGAGGCGGTTCAATCGGAAAAGTACGATATTTGGCGTAGTTTTTCTTGCTAAAAACCATGTTTGCCAAAGTCGAAGTGAATTGCACGTCTACAATTATAGCGTAAAAAGCTTTATTATCAGGTTGGCTAATAAATAAGTTCGGTCGCTTTTTCAGCTCTTGCAAATGCTGTAGACAAATTTTTGTTTAATGTTTGGTATCTCTGAAAAGAGCATTTCACTGGGTATTGGAGCATATATTCTGTTTAAGTAAAACTTATCTTCCCAGGAAAAAAATCCGCAAAGAAGTGAAAAATCTCAATTTTCCCATAATGCGCAAATATGAGGAAATTTGTTTTCTTAGTGAATCATTTTCGAAATGGCAGATCACAGTTCTTTTTGTTGTTCACTAGATAGAGATAACTCCTCTGTATCAAAGCACCAGACTGCTGTTCTTTACATCCATTACAGCATAAAAACGAAGCTCAAGAAGTCAAAGAATTGGGCTTTTGGAAATTTCGCCATGTTGAGGCATAACTGTACTGACCATAGAGAATCCTAATTATGTAATATGTGATGGAGGAAGCTTCGATCTACTTTCCCACAAAGAATCATAGATTGAAGACAACAAGAAGCTTTTTTATGACAATTTGTATGCTAAAACGAACTTACTTTTTAGCCAACCTAATATTACGAACCGTCAAAGGTGAGCTCATTTGAATACCTACGATAGAATAAATACGTTTCCCAGTATTCAACGCTATATCTTCTGTTGCAAAGCGTCAGAACCACCGGATTATGATTTGGTGACAGCCCCCTCCCATTGCAGCACAGTATTTTTAGTAGCTTCATTTTTTTTCTGCGGGTGTTGCTCAAAGTTCGAAATTCTTGTAGTGGCGAGCTTTGATTTTGAGCAATCATAAAGGTAACGCCATTCGATAGTCATCATCTATAGACACGGTCAAAAGGTTTTGATATGCGCTAACATGTGCCAAAACCTGGATCTAGATAGGTTCTCTTCCAGCAAGCTGCATTATTCTTTAGGTGCCCCATTAGTACTGGAGCACCCTATATTTATTGTACATGTGACTAATTTCGTCCCTTCATGCATATTGTTTTGTTGTATACAGTCGTCCATTTCCGAATGCGCTGGGCAGTTGTTTTAATGCCTTTGTGTTTGTGTACTCCTGACGCTACGCCACCGTACGAAGACGATGTGAAGGATATCGGGTCATTAGCGGATGACGAAGGATACAACATTGCATCGGAAATTCTTAGAAATTCCATAAACTTTTCGGTTCGTAGTTATACCTGCCTTCAAAGTCCAAATAGGGTGCACTTCAGGTAAATCCATGCGAGGATTTCTATGAATTTACTTGTGGCAACTGGATAGCTAGTCATCCGATTCCTGAAGACAAAATCAGCTACGATCATTTTCAGATTCTCAAGGCTAAAGTGCAGGAGCAATTACGAGGTTATCCAGAAAGACGAGTTTACTTTTAAGTGCTTCCCAACCGTCTTCTCTGTGTCGCAACGAGCCGTTATTGGCCTTAACACCACTGCAGAGTCTACTATAAATGCTCTCTTCCTCTCTTTTAGAACATGCGAAGAGTCTTGAGCAGCTTCGCCTTTCACGCGCGAGATACGAAAATGCCCAAAGTTTGACGTAGCATATATTGATCGACAAAATACAAACGTACAAAATGCGGATTGAGTAGCTTTGAGGAGTAATTTTTATTTCCTTATATTACTATTCCAAAAATACTCAATCCATAATTTGTAAAACAAACAATTTTTCGGTTGACGTCAGTAACCAAGTACAATACGCTTGGAATGAGACACAAGGAAACTAATACTCTAAGTTTTTTTGCGAAAAAATTTTGTCGTTTTGAATTTTCAATTCGCATGTCGATAAGGTCATAAAAAAGTTTTTGGAAAGAGAGTAGAGAGTGGGGCAAAAAAGAACGAATAGATCACGGTTAGCAGTGGAATTAGTCGCAAATTCCTTTGATGAGGTAGAGTGCCAGGGGTGAAAACTGAAGTAGGTTTGTTCATAGCTATTTGAGCCGTTTGGACAAAAGAATTACCTGGGCTATAAAATCATGAATGTCTCCTTCTTTCATGCACAGTTCTCTACTGAAGCGTCTCGCTCAACAAATCTAGAAATCACGACGCTTTTGCACTAATTTTTACAATATGCGTAAGCTTGAAGTTTTACTGAATGCAAAAATTATTCTGGATGCAAGAGGTTGTCTGCTAAAGGTCTCTTCAAGATCAATTCTGAGAAAGCCAACTACTATAAGTATTCTAAGCATGTGTACCCAAGATTTTTTCACTTTATCTCGGTTCAAATCTCTTGCTTTTTTTGACGTTGACAAACCGTACATTTACGCTAGTCATCCAATGTAGATTTGTGGCAACGCGCGAATTCTGAGGCATTCCCCCCCACCTTCTTCCTCTCCCAGTCAATGCTTGACACAGGTAGCTTACAAAGTAGGCTGATTATCGTTTTGGGATAAGCAGGGGGATATCGCTTTTACATAATCCGGAACAGAGCTCTTTTTGCTTGATCCGGGTGGGGCTCAGGAAAAATGCATGTATTGGCTTAGTATAGTGTGTTTGAAAGAAAAGGCTAATCAGAATTGGAAAAATACTTTGGAAATCATTTTTACCAAGGGAATCTTGAACTGAATTTTGATGTAAAATATTAGGTTGAGAATTGAGTTTTGCAACCTCTTTAACAACTTTCATTCTTTTAACATGGTGAACTCAAATTCTGCCATTGCATAGGTTATGACGTAACTAGCAAACGCGGCTGCTGTTCTGTCAATTCTGACGTCGCAGTGACGTTTACGGAAGGTGCAGTCGTTTTAAATACGTATTGGTCTTTTCTACCGTATGCCTTGCAGCCTCAATATGACGTGGATTGTTGCGGCGCCGCCTCGCTTCGGGCCTGCGCCACGTAGCGGACGCTCGTTTGGCGTAATGTGGCGAGGAAAGCAATGTGGCGCAGGCCCGAGGCGATGCGGCGCCTCACCAATCCACGCCATGTTGAGTTTGGAAGGCATACGGTAGAAAAGACCAATACGTATTGAAAACGACTGTATATGGTATGTAGGAAAAACCAACAGATTTTACAGAATCGTTGAAACTTGTTTCAGGGTTATTCGATACGGTGATTACGAAGACAATACTTGAATTGCATAGTAAGCTTTTTTTGTAAGATTACTGTAGGTCAATGGTCTAGGTCTCACTCTAAATAAGTAATGAGGGGTTGATTTAATAAATGAATATGATCGTTCAGCAAATCAAACATTCCCAGTATGCGAAGTCTTGCTAGTTTTAATTAAATATAATATTAAATATTAACTTTTTTCAAATTACAAAAGTAATTTGCGTTCTTGTTGACGAATGTGTCCGAAACTTCGCTGTGTTGTGTGTTAGCCTACCACGGTTTCTTAAAACGGCTTCCGATTTTGTTGAGTTTGAATGGAGAAACTTAGGAAAAATCGAAAAACTCCTACCGAAAGCCAGACAAAATTATGAAGACACCTGGGTTTTTGAAAACTATCGCATCCCCTGACCTTAAAATTTTTTTGTACAATTACATACTAAAATATGACTCACTAGCTGGCTTACCCGGCTCCCCAGGCTCTGTCAAAAACGATGAAGGTTCCATTCCTATCCCTGTACAACCTTTCCCTGTGCCCACTTCTACATGCAAATCCCTATTCCCGATGTGTTAGCAATCAGTATGCTCACCTAACTCACCACCCCCCCCCCCACCTCCGTAGCTCAGAATTTGCAAAAATTCGATAAAATCGATAAAAGCAAGAAATTCTGAAAACTGATGCCGCTATTCGGCCATCCGGCCCCAACATTTTTTGTGATGGATCTTGCTCATTCGGTATATGGGGGTTACTCGAGCCGCTGATGACAAACATCGTAGTCATTTCGCGCGATAGCGCCATTTTCTGGGTTTACGTTGGGTACACGTAAGAAGCTAAAAATCATGGATTTCGCTGAACTTTACTTGGAGGGGGGGCTAATTGACATGCTGATTACGAATATCGTACTCCTTCGGCATTGGGGCGTTTTCACTGAGTTATGGTAGGTATACTGCGGGTAGGAGAACGAAAGCCGCCAGTTTGAGCTGCCTTTCGCGGCCAACTGGTTCTTTCGCAGTGTTGGTGCATGCCGTTCCAGGACCAGCAGTCCGCAAAGGCGGCCCAAACTGGCGGCTTTCGTTCCCCTACCCGTATACTGCAGAGGAGCAAAATCTCAGTTTTGGCTGAAACTCGGTCTAGAGAGATTCGACTTTCTGACCACGTTTAAAACATTCTCGTTGCGTTTTGAGACATTTTCGCAGAGTTACGGTAGGTACATGGCAGCGGGTTAAAATCATGAACCTGCCTGAAATCTTGGCAGGGGGTTACTTACCTAAGATGCTGTTTCAAGAATGTCGTACTCAATCCCCACGATAAAGGCAATTCGTGTGATATAGAAGATTTAACACGACCGTAATGCTTTCCTTATAGGACCACTGCCTTTTCGGCGACTTTTACCTAAGCAAAGAACAAGGAGGAGGGAGATTTGTCGCGTGCGTTACGCATTGGGACAGGTTATCAGGATGGCGCTGGAGACCGCCATACAAAACGACCGTTTTCCGGGAAACGGCCCTTTTGAACCGCTCGCTATCACGGCGCCTCTGATTGGTCAACGTGTCCGCTGCCATAACGAGTTAATAGTCGTTCATTTGTGTACATCTTTCGTGTCCAAGATGTTGATAGGTTTTGGCACAGGTATATTACATGCTTCAAACTACGAATTTTCCCCGTTGAATGTAAATGCGGCTTGTTCTTTGCCAGCGCGCCGCACGCGGCGAAAGAGCATCGCGCGCGAAGGGCTTAAAAGGGCCTATACCCCCGTTTCCCCATTTCGTGAATATCTGGGATCTAAATTGGCCCGAAGGCGAAAAAATGTCCATTGAAATCCTGCAACTCACCATAACTTCACAATAATGCGGTATGACAGCGAGCAAGCATCATATTCTTAAGCAGCATACTTGTAAACCGTTACAGGTAAGGTTTTGAGCAAATCTGGAACTTCGACCCATCTACACCCGTAACCCAAGAAAATGCACTATCCTGCGAAATCAGCATGATATTCATGTTCAGCGCGCTAAATGACCACCCTAGACGAAGTTTAAAGCAAATCTATGTTTTCGGCCCGTACCGTATAACCACCATAACTATGAAAAAGTCCCAATATGCAGAGAGAGTATGAAATTCGTAATTAGCATGTCGAATAAGTTCTCTGGACCGAACTCCAGCCGAATTCATGATTTTTACTTTCTACCGTACACCTATCGTGGGGAGACGTTCTGCGGAGAAAGTGTGATATCTGTAATCAGCATGTAAGATAACTCTTGACACGAAGTCTGAGCAAGCTCTACGACAAAAAAAAAACTTTGGTGCCCGGATAGCCGAATAGCCAAACTAATATTGTACTATAATCAGCATGCTCGATTACCCCCTGTGCCAACTCCCAGCCCCGTAGCTCAAACTTTGCAAAAAATTGATAAAATCGATAAAAGTAATGGATAGTTCTAAAAACCAAAATTGTATTCGTAATCAGCATGTCGATTAAGTTCACTGGACCGAACTCCAGCCGAATTCATGATTTTGACTTCTTGCCGTACACCTGTTGTAACCACACGGAGAGACGTTCTGCGGAGAATGTGTGATATCTGTAATCAGTTTGTAAAATAACCGTTACAGATGAAGTTTGAGCAAGCTTTACGACAAAAAGAGTTTGAGGCCCGCATAGCCGAATAGCGCCAAACTAATATTAAATTCGTAATCAGCATGCTCGATTACCCCCCTGTGCCAACTCCCAGCCCCCTAAATCAAACTTTACGAATTTCGATAAAATCGATATCGATCGATGACAAAAAGTAGCCTACGACACCCACCCCGCCCCGAAGTGTATGTGTGCCAAGTTTGGTCCGGATCGGTTTGGAAATGGATTTTTTATTTGGAACATACGTACACACAGACAGATATACAGACAGACAAACACATTCATCTTTATATATAAGGTTTGCAACATATGCGACCTGTCATCCCGCTCGAAAAAACGTTCACTGCGTTCTTTGCTTTCAAAACCAAAAGTCAATCTGCTTCAACAAACAGCTGGTTTGAAGAGTTTTCAAGCTCTTGCTCGTCTAAGATGAGTTGTAGGATCCGCTGAGCCTCTTCGATAAATGCGTTGAAGAGCGCTTTCGTAAGGCTGCGTTCATACTGAACCGGAAGTTCGGGAACAGTTCCAGCACAGCGCTCGAAATGAGCGCTGTGCTGGAACTGTTCCCAAACTTCGGGATCAGTATGAACGGAGCCTAAGCTCTGCGCGATCGCTGATATTGACGGACAGACTCCAATCTTAACATAGGCTTGTCACGCTTTTAAACCACGAAACTCAGTTTGCAATGTCCACGAAGTGCTGAACTTGATTTATTACATTACCTACATGGTGATGCAGCTTTCGCAATGACTTTTAGATTTTCCCTAATGTTGCGCTCGCTATTGAACCTAAAATACTTTCCACGAAAATTTTCTGCGAGCATCGGATTCGACACAATTATAAATCTCACTATTTTCGTCTCTATTTCATGTCAGATTCTGCCCAAAAAATGAGATTAGCTAAGGTTTTGAAGTTCTGAGCGGTCACCTGTTCTAACTCGTGATCTGTGTTGGCTATGATTAGGCAGGGTGCTCCACTCAACATACAGTAGATGACAACTGCGGCTAAACAATCATGCCAACTTCAAAATACTTTCCTAACTATGCACACATTTACTGTTGTACAGCGATGTAATGGCTACATTACTTTACTTAGTGTTGCTTGAAAATTGTGTTTTGTGGTTTGAAAGCGTGACAAAGCTAAGTTAAGTTGGAGTCTGTCCGTCAATATCAACGACCACGCAAAGTTTACGAAAGCGCTCTTCAACTCAATCAACGAATAGGCTCAATGGATTCCATAATTATCATCTGAGATGAACAAGAGCTTGAAAACTCTTCAAAGCAGCTGTTTGTTAAAGTAGATTGACTTTTGGTGCTTTTGAAAGCTAAAAATGCAGTGAACATTTTTTTGAGAAGGATGACAGGTCGCATATGTTGCAAATGTTTTATATTTCAGTATGCAAGTGTACAAAAAAATTTTGAAGTTAGGCGATGCGATAGTGTTCAAAAATCCAGGTGTCTTTATATTTTTGTTCAGTTTCCGAAAGAGGTTTTTCGAATTTTTCTAAGTTTCTCCATTCAAACTCAACAAAATCGGAAGCCATTTTGAGAACCATGGTAGACTAACATCTGCACTACAAGCAAAGTTTCGGACACATTCGTCAACAAGAACGCAAATTACGACAGTTTTAGAGTATCTTCAAATTATGGTCAGCATTGCACTATAAGCAACTTCACGCCTATCAACCCAACAAATTTTTGCAGCCTTGGCTTTTACAACTTAGACCATAGCTAGTGTTAATACACCATACCCTGGTTCTCATCCATTCCTCCTCCCCCCCCCCCCCCACCCTTCCCCACAATAACCCCTGCTCCTCTTTGGGTCCACGCCCTCATCTTCTAGAGACGTCGAAGCGCTTAAGTGCTGTTCCTACCCATTCCATTCCTTTTGAAACAAGCGATCTCCCACTCTCCAATAAGCGCGTTAGTTCAAAAATGTGTCAAATGCCTGCCCCCAGCGTATGAAGAACAATACTTCAGTGAAAACACCAGATGCTAGACGTGGTGGCACTTACTGCCCACCTCCGCTGAGTGATTCCGCTAGAAGGCATGCAGTGTTTCACATCCGTGACAATGAGAAGTTTTTTGCTCACTTTGTAGAAACATGAGTCATTGGGAGTAAAAATGGCATGAATTATTCTGCAGCAGGCTCTTGTCTTAGGCCCCGGACAGACTTCACGCGACTCTAGGATTTCCATTCATTTTCATTTCACATTCAAAAATTTCGGGCTAGAAAAGTATCACAACCGAATGCAGGTTGATCGGCATGGAATGATTTTGCAACAGTTGTCGCGATTCAGTCGCGACGATCAAATCGCGTGAAGTCTGCCTGGGCCTTACTCTCAGCTTATTGAGCCTCGCCCAACAACACTTGCTAAGGTTTGTATGAATCAAACGACACGTTTGGATCAAAAGCTGTTAATGCTTTGAAAACCTTCTACAAAAAGTGTATGGATAAGGATGAATTAAACCGTATCGGTGCTAAGCGACTGATTGAGAACGTCAAGGTAGGCCGCATAGCTTCTCTTGCACAACATCTTTCAAGTGAAGTGCTTTAGAGTTTCGGAGTTTGGCCGGCTTTAGAAGGAGACGATAACTGGAAGGAGGAGAATTACAACCTGACTTCGCTGCTAATCCACGTGTATCTTCGCCGTCAAGTCTTTGCATTTGTCACTTTTGATAAAAGTAAAGATGACACGAAAATTCGACATATCCTCCAGGTTTGCGGTTTCTCTTGTAGTCTTCTGTTAACCCACAAGCAACAGTAGCGCAAGCTCAGTCTCTGCGGGGCGTACTTTCAAACACACGACAACAACATACACTTCCTCAAACTTTTTGACATTCGACATGCCTTTGAAAAGCTGCAAAACTTTAGAGATTGTTCCTCAATTCAAAATAATTCAAAGTTCATTAGAATTTATTAACTAACAACAAGCCATTTACATAATTCTGTTGGATTACTCACTAAAGCATACCAGCAATTTGAGAGGTAAGGGAATTGCCTGGAAGGGGAGGAAAAAAATAGTCACGTCCTTAGAATCTTTACTGAGGAGTTTTTCATGGACTTTTATGAATTTTGCTTGTGCACCCTTATTATCATTAAAAAACAAAGATTTTGCGACTTATTCGAGGGACAAAGCAGAAGGCGGAGGTGTTACCCTTTCGCTTCTTGAACAGAATGCGAAGTTAATGGTTCCGACTTTGAGGCACTACCTTGAAAATAGTAAAAGAAACAAATCACAATTACGTGATTATTCTGCATTTAGGTCAGCTACATAGTATCAATTCAATTTTAGAAGTCTTCTTTCCTTTTTTCCAGAACCACAAATAGCATGTAGCCATTTCCCATAAAGAAAACAGCGCGGTTTTATAGACCAATGCGTGCAAGTAGGCGCACAAAAGAGTCGAGGAAATCTGTTGTAAGAAACAATTCTTTTTAAGAGGTTTTGCCCTTCAAAAAATCCTAAGTAGCTCCCAATGCAAGCTTTTTTCATGATCATCAAATAAAAACAGAAACTATAAATCACTGCAAGGTAACCCGAACATTGTCAATGTGCGCATCGGCGCGTTCTTCAGATGTGGTCAACTAGTGGTCTGCCCTATCAGGCCAGAAATGGAGTGATGCGCATCCGCATAGTTATAATTTCGCGTCAAGTCTTATAAGAGGCAGTGATAGGTCCTACCTGCAATACCTTTGCCCACTCCGTTAGCACACTTATGCGCGTGACCCCTGCCCTTGGCGCTGAAAGCGGGCAACTCAAGCAGGCAATTTTTCATCTTGTCCAGACTGAGATAGATCATACTCGCGTCTTTTCCTGCTTGTTTATTTATCTGCACATTACTGACAGTTTCATTTTGCAAAGCGTCAACATTCTAAAGAATGTGCACTAGCAGAAATTAGTGAAGAGAAATGTTCAGCTGCAAGTTTGAATTTATGCAACAGTTGCAGGCTAAACACATTAAAGTTTTGAAGGTACTTCTCTATAAGCAAGTTTAATCGTGACAAGACTATCCTATAATCACTTGAAGTTCAATGATGTGTGGTTTTTTCCCCGGTCCAGTTGATTTTTAGTGTAAAGCCACTTTTGGATCCAGCACATTCCTAGAGCGAAATACGTAATTACCCGAAGCAGAATTTATATTAGGTTGTCCGGAAAATAATGTCGCATCGTGTTTTATCGTGCTATATCGCAGCAGGGCGCGTACGAAAGTATATAAGTGGGGTACCAACCGATAGATCAGAGCAAGCACTACAAAATGAAGCTCGGACCTTCGCGTCAGGTTTGATCTGCGTGAAGTTTGAAGCCAAATTGTATAAGGCACTAAAAACCCAAAAAACAAAAAATATCGTATCTCCGTTTAGAAAAGTCCTGGGAATGAATCTCTAACTTGCTCGCGCATGAACCCACTATACGAGACACTCGTATGCACAATTTCGCGGTTTTTCCATGGCTGAAAATTGAGAAAACCAAATTCGGCATATTTCTGCCAAAGCAATCCTGCGCTTCTTTCAAATAGGTAATTCTGTAGTATAAAGCTTTGGGACTATAACCATAAAATTTCAGCTTTATACAAGCTTTAGTTTTCGAGAAAAACCAAATTGTTTGCAAAAAAAATCGAAAAAAGCGACATATTCGCACTTTTGATCCGTTTTTGTTTGTCGTACTGTAGCCGTGGAAAAATACCACAAACTACAGGCGAATGTCTGGTGTGGAGAGTACACGCCTATGCAAATTGGAGATCCCTAAAATGTCTGTGAAGGGTTATATTTTGGACTCGAACTTCAGGTGGAGCAAAATTTCCGCGAACGTTTGTAAACTGCCTCGTAGGGCTTAATTTGCTCTATCAAATAATCATTTGCTGTTTTTCGTAGTCATTCTGTCGCGGTAGGATGCCTTGCGACATTATTTTTCGGACATCCTAAAATTAGGTCGGTGTGTGGTTTGCTCTCTTTTTATAGTACTGGTAAGAGTTTGGAAGAGGAAGAGAGCCAACCAACGGAAGTTTGCCATACAGACTGAACTACCAGTCGTTTATTACTACGGAGAGAATAAAAGAAGAAGAAAGGATAAGTTTTTCTGAACCTTACTATGAGTGAGAAAGAGAATGCTACTGAGGAGCTCACATAGAGATAAGAAGAAGCGAAAAGAATGAACATGAATCCATCGTCCGTTCCTATGCTGACACACGGCCAGCTTATTTATAGTACTAGCAAGTCTAATCAAGCCCTTTGCCGTGCCACACAAAACAAAGCAACATTGTCTAACATTCAGAGATATCAAAATAATAGCCACTGCACTCAAGCATGTTTCCGAGCATTAGACTTATAGACTTACGGTATGCAACAGTACTTGACAGTACAGTACTAGACTTACGGTATGCAACAATCGCCCGTCCGGGTAAGTTACCCGGACAGCTAGTTTCCGCTTCATAGCTCGGTGCTTTGGGGATCTGTGTTTTTCCTTGTTTGTTCATTTTTTGGAAGCTCTACTACTTTAATATTGTAGCACAATGACTAGTAGCACTTTGCTGTATAAGCTAAGATAATTCGTTATTTGTACGATCCCGAACGGGATCTCCCACTGATCACGCTCATTTTCAAAGTTATTTATATCCGCAAAAACTCAATGAAGAGGTCACAGAGTTTTGCTGTCGACCTATTACGACATGCTAGGCATGCTTTTAGTAGCACAGATGAAATGTGCAAGTTTTGAGTTTTGCGATATACAGCCCAATTCGCGAGCACAGGTTCAGCGAAGATTTTGTCAACCTGATTTTTCACTTATTTCTTTCACAACATGCGTAGCACTGTCGTAATAAATGTACAGCAAAACTCTGTGACGTTTTCATTGAGTTTTTGCGGATATAAATAACTTTAAAAATGAGCGTGATCAGTGGGAGATCTGTTCGGGCTCATACAAATAACGAATCATCTCAGCTTATACAGCAAAATGCTGCTAACCAAAGTGCTAGAATATTAGGGTAGTAGAGCCTCCAATAGATGAACAAACAAGGAAAGACACAGATTCCCAGAGCACCGAGCTATGAAGCGGAAACCACCTGTCCGGGTAACTTACCCGGACGGGCGATTGTTGCATACCGCCCCTGGAGACTGGTACACCATGATACTTCTTGTAACGGCATGCTATCGCTGCATCACAGTGCAATCCATACAACTGTATCCTTACTGCAACCATCCGCTGCATTTCGACCGCTTGACGTAGTCCCTCCATCCATTTTGATGCTGGTTTTACAGGTGCAAGGGTTTTTTTCGGTTTTTTTTTGCATTCATCCGCAAATCGAGTAGAGTAGAGGCAAACAAGTACTTCAAGCAGTATTCGATGCAAAATTCCTTCCTCGTTCTAGCACTATGTTTCTCTCTCAACTCTTTTGAAAAGCATAATCGTTGAAGCTTGGGATCCTTCATTTTTTCCTTGCCCGATTTTCGCTGTTTTCTAGAGTTTTTAGAGGTTTTGAAGGTGCTCTGACTGATGAGACGAATACTTTGAAATCTAACACAGCTTTTTGTAAGTCTCTGGCTTCAGAGACTTCATACTCGGTCCTTTGAGCCACTCTAAGCTCGAAAATCATAAAACGGGGTACAGTCCAGATATAGTATGTGTCCCGGCCAGTTTCCGTAGGTACCACCGCGGCGCGTACGCAACGCATGCTTGTGCTGCGGCAAGGGCGTCTCCTTTAAGGCCTAAGGCATACCTCGCGCGATTTTGGTCGCTGCGCGGTTCGGTGCAACAGCGACTCTTCGTAATTCGTCGTTAATGCGCTGCCTTTGGTCAGAACTTGCTCCGTTTGCAACAACTTACAAAAGCGACCCAAATATGGTCCGAGAGGCGCGCACGATAAATTTGTAGAAATCTGGCAAGTCGCCAAGCCGCGTGAAAGTGGCGATTAAGCCGAATCGCCACTTGCCTGCCTTAAGCCTTAAGTGCCAAAGTTTTCGTATTTTCTTGTTAATTCCTTATTTGGTGTTGTTGCTCTGTAACTCATTGTTCCAAGTGTAGGCCATCGATCTATGGCTGATTAATATGACTATATTGTTGAAAATTTACGATTTACGATTTATTTGCCTCTCATATTATCACGATATGTGTCATTCAAACAAACTGATCCATTCTTTTAACGTGAGTGATCTTGCTACTCTTTGCCAATTGCAAGTGCCAAGCATCTTCTGAAATATCTCTCCATCTCATCCTCGGTCGTCCTACTGGACGCTGTTGGAATGGCCGCCATTCCAATAGTTCTCTTGACCATTTTATCTCATTTCTGTTGGCGAGTTTCCAAGCATAAATCTAATTCCTTTCCTTCGCGCAAGTCGCTAAATCTTTCACTTTGGTGACGCCACGTAACCATGAATTCGTCTTCTTGTCTATTTGGCGACTGCCAACCATTCTCCGTTCTATACGTCTTCCAGCAGCACTAAGCTGTTCCTCTATCTTCATCGTCATTGTCCATGTTTCCGCACCGTACAGAATCGCAGGAAGAATACATGAATTAAACAATTTCCGCTTCCACTTCATTAGCACCTTCTTCGATGTCAAGAAGTCCTTATATTGGTTGAAAATTTACCATCTAGCATGTGTACGTCCTGACATCTCTTTGTTATTATCACGGAGAAGTGAAATAGACTGTTCAAGATAAATATAAGATTCCACTTGTTCGATGGTTGTGCCTCCCAAACTGATTGTTACTGGCGTACGTGCAA